AATGCGTCCAACATCGTGCAGTTTTTCGATTTCATGTTAGAGAGGAAAAATCTATGAATCTCAATTGTTGAAGACGATACATTAGTTGAAAGACGACTGATTTTTGTGACTTCGTGAATTCAGCTTACAATTAGCGATGATCTAGAAAAATTTGTGAGTATTGTATTTAAATTAGGCTTCATAATGAATTCAATCAGTAGTTAACATAAAATATAAAGAATTTGTATCTGTTCGTTGTATGAACAATGGTAACGGAATGCCCTTTGTGATGTTCGTGTACAGCAATTAATTCACAGTTTATAAACGAAGTATTCGAGCCTTTTAGTCGCAATTGAAGTTTTTTTTTTGAAAACTCTTCAATGTTCCTTTTTAGTACACTTATGAATTCGTCTTATTTTCTATGATGTGTATTGCACTTATTTACCTGTTTTGTTTCATATGTATGAAAGAATTTCCTTTGTATTTTTTGTTCTTATCGTGTCATGATCAATATTATCATTATCATTGATATCGTGTAATATTTCCGTCTGTTTGAGCTGAATTACGTTCTGTGTTTCCGTGTACATTGTTTAATGAGTTTAACTTCTTTCTCAGAAAATTCTCTTTTGACTTATGTGCATAAGCACATTTGATTTCGTTTTTTTCTTGGTTTGCAAAAGTAATTTTTTTTTTGTTCATCACGCTACCATTTCTCTGATGCATAAATAACAATCAGAATTGATATTATGGTTTCTGCTGAATGTATATTGCTTTTTATGTCTATTCAACTACCACGTACAGTACTACTATTACTACCATGCGAACGTTGTTAATAAACGGTTCTTATGAAGATTTTGTTTTCTTGTGCATATCATCAAAGGACTTCAACATCATTATATCAACAATTCTGGTATTGCTTAAGAGGAAGAATTGATCGCTTCACGAGCTTACTTCGTAAAGCAGAGAAAGAGTGAGATAGCTCTGTGCTGATCTGATATTATTCACAGATGTGGATATCCGTGGTTGTTGAGAATAAGCACAACACCATAAAAAAATAACAGAAGAAGAACAATAGAAGAGTATGACACCAAAATGAGCATGATACCACAAAAATGATAATAATAACAGATGCTGGTCTGATAATTTGCCGACAGGTGATCAGGCAAATATTTAAGCGGTTGGAATCGAGATTTCTTTTGCTTAAGATTAACAGTTTGACTTTTTCAAACTATAGCTGAAGATTTTTCAAAAACACTGCAATCAAGTGACAGCAGTCTTTCAGTTCATTACCACTCGTCAGAAGATGCAAATTCAGGGACGAAATTGTTTCATTTATAGTTAGACATTTGGTTGAGTGATTTTCATTTCAATTATTTTATTTACTGACTCAGCTCTGAGTGGTTGATACTGACTGAGGTCCACTTGACCGCACTAACTTACGAAATACTGGCTGACATTTGAATCTGTTCACTTGTGTATGTCTGATAAGAGTGATCGTACCGTGGTACTGTTGAATGAAAAAGATATTGTTGCCGACTGGCGAGTGACTAGAAAACTGGGTGAGGGTGGATGTGGGGTGGTCTTTGAGGTTTGCTCGTTGGTAGGTTGATTTTATCTTGTAACAGGAAAATGCTTAATCAAACTGTTACTTTTTGACGATCTTCAACTGCAATAGAAGACGACAAATGCAGGAGAGGGCTAGAAATAGTAGAGAATCCATCAAATCTACTTCACTTCAACTCATTTCAGTGATTGGATCACTCTCATGTTGAATATTTCTTTAGAAAACCGGAATATCCAGTAAATTCCTTCGCTGTCACAAGGGGACTTCGTAGCGATGAAGCGACCGGAAATATTGTAATCTGGATAATTCCATTTAGAGGATTGTAATTTAGATAATAGGAAATTCAATTCCTAATAAGAATAAGCAACCACATTAAGGAGACATCGAATTCAGTACGGCCACGGGGTCGTTTCGCGATGAAAGTCGAATCACGATGCATTGATCGTGACGAGCAGTTGTTGCGCGCAGAAGCGGCTGTGCTCAAACGAATGCGTAACTCCAAACACGGACCGCATTTAATAACTGCTGGTTAATTACTCTTATTCTTGTCAAACAACTGCTAAAAACTTGTGTTATCTATCAACTGCAGTTGAAATTGATTAGTAAACGATCAGAATTAAAATCTGACACAATCGATGGTAGCAGCTCGTTGGGTCAATCTTTCACTAACTGTTTTCGAATGTAAGCCAAAATTGGCATTGAGCAAAATTACGACTCATATTCGCTGTTATATGGTTTCCAAGTAAGTTTTGAGCTCGGAATAACCGAAGCGATAAGAGCTTTTGCATATCTTCTCGTTTTTCATCATCGGTTCCTTCCTATGTGACATTCGATCGACTGATTTTATGGCCTATGAATGCTTTCAAAGGAATTTGATCTCACGATTCAATTTCAGGTCGAACTGCTTCGTTCAACTTTCTTCTAATGGATTTGTTAGGAAGATCACTCAATGAGCTTGTTAAAGCCACACCAAAACGGATGTTTTCGGTGGAAACCGTACTGAAGATTGCTGTACAAACTCTTGCAGTAAGTCATATTGTATCATCTACACCCGACTTTTAGAGTTTAATTCAAATGAGAGATAAGATTTGTACGATTGGACCATTATTTCATAAACTCTCGGAAGGTTGTTTCA